GAGTGCCACATCCTCGGGCACCCGGTGACTCATGTGCCACTGTCAGTGCCACTGACAGCGCTCCAGATCTCCTGCCTCCCTCGGCCCGCTTGGCCCCGGGGTGTTTTTGTGGATCATCAGAGGAAACAGGCTTGGCAGCAGGACAGAGGATGGCTCCTCCTGTCCCGAGGGCCTCATCTTGATATGCCAGGGCCTAAAACGCGGCGAGTGGAATAGGATAAAAATAGGGAGATGACGGGATGAAGTGGGGAGGAATGGGATAAAATGGGAGGAAAAAGGAGAAAGTCAGGGCTGACAACAGACTACAATCAGGGGGATGTAACTGTGAGTGACAGGATAACACCAGGGATGATGGGATAAAACTGGGGATGACAGTGGATAACTCCAGGAGAGAAGTGGATGATGGTTGTGTCCATGCAGGGAGATTGGCTGCCTCGGGTGAATCCTGGTGGCTTCCACGACTGAGGAGCAGAGAAATGCCACCCTGAGGCTCCCTGGATCCAGGCAGGAACCACCGGATTCTCTGAATACTGGAGATCTCCTCAGCCCCTTGCCTCTCGGCACCACAGGGAACCCCCATTCCCACACCATACATCCCAACCCTTACACCTAAATCCACTCACTCTACCAGCCCACGGGATTCTCCCCACATTTCTGGATGTGAAGGATCAGGAGTGGCTTCCAACCTTGTCCCTCCCTTCCTAGCCCATCCAGACCCTAGGACTTCCCACCTGGATGTAAGGCAAAGCACAAACTCTGCACGGAAGATGAGAATCATGAAGGAAGCAAGCAGCACATTCCCACTTCCATGTCCCCTCACAAACTCCCAGCTCTTGGAGGCTCTGGCACTGCCCAGGGGCAGGAGAAGGTGTTTGTGGACCCCAAACCCTTTAAAGATTTCCCAGAAGAATGTTTGACTTCGGCTAAACCTTGGCACGAAAATATTCCACAGTCAGACCTCAGCTCCCTGGATTTGGGCAGCGATGGCTCAGGAATGGGAAATCCAGACATTCCTATGGAGCAGCTGAACAGAGCACACAGCTCTTCCAGGCTCACCAGCGATCAGACCATGGGTCAGCTCTGCCCCAAATCCCTCCAGCCTGGTTCTTCCCAATGGCCCAAGCAGGGAAAAGATCTCAGCGGGTGACAAACAGGCAGAGCCTCATACCCAATCCAGGAACCCTTTTGGTTCCCAAATTCTTTATTATCACTGCTTTCCATACAAAACCAACAAATCCAGTAAAAAGGAGCTTGGAAAAGCTTCCAGGGGAAGAGAAACGGGAGGAGGTAGGAAGAGCAACGAAAATTAACACTAAAAAGAAACAGGGGGAAGAAATGGGGAGGGAAGGGAGGAGGAGGAGGGGAGGAGGCCCCCAGCCCTTTGCAGGAATGGGAATGTCGATACGAGTGGAAGGCTGAGGACGGGGAACAGAGAATCCCCCACCTCTCAGGGCAGGGGTCCCCGCAGGGGCCCTCGGGGGGGGACTCCAGGGGGTCTCTGCGCTGGCCGAGGGGGCAGTGGGACCCTCTGGTAGCCGTAAGGGGGGGGCCGGGGGGGCCCGTTGTAGCCGTGGGGTGGCATCAGCGGGGGGGGCCCGCGGAGCCCGTGGTGCGGCAGCGGCCCAGGGTGACCTGTGGGGGACAGGGGGTCAGTGACAGGGGGGAGGAAAGGACAGAGCCCCCCCCAAAACCCCCTGGAGGAACGCAGTCCCCACCGCCCCTCCCAGACCTCCCTGCAAGCGCCCACCACACCCAGGGGTGCCACACCCAGCAGGTGCCCCCAGCTTGGCCAACGCTCCCTCTGTGTGTGCGAGTGTCAGAAATTTATCCCAAGACCCCCGTGGGCACGGCGGCCTCCAGAACGATCCCAAAGCCGTGGGAATCCCGACGGGGCGAGTTGCAGGGTTTGCATGCCACAACGAGGAAACCTCGTGAAGACCCCGGAGCGGGCAGGGGGATGCCAGGTCCCCCCGGGGTGTTGCTTCACACGCGGCTGTGCATCCCCTCCTCCTCCTCCTCCCCCTGGAGCAGAGACCCCCCAGAACAGACGCCACTCACCCATTGGAGATCCGAAGTGTGGCCCCCGAGGGGGGAGCCCCATGGGGGGAGGGCCGGGGTGCGGCATTCCCGGCGGGGGCCGGGGGGGCGGCTGCCCTCCGGAGCCTGGTGGTCCCGGGTGGTGCTGCCCCATCCCAGGTGGCCCATGGTGCACCTGCATCGGTGGCATTCCTAGGGGGGGATGATGGGAGTTAGGGGTGCTGGGAAGCAGCTCCAGGCACTCCCAGGAACTGAAATCCCAGCTGGGTCTGGAAAGCATGGGTGCAGAGGGGCTTCTGCTGCCAAAAAGAGGCTTAAAGAGAAGGGAGCTTTTGGGCAAGAGGAAAGGGCTTGGATGCAAGTGTGTGGGAAAAGAGATGGGACAGCAAGCGTGTGCACCCCTGGGACACTGAGTAATCCCCATCCATTGAGAATTTTGAACAAACTCCCAGAGTAATTCAAAGCTGGAGCTGCCCTGCTCCGACTGGAGCAGCCAGAGTCCCTCCAAACTTCCTTTTTCCCAATTATCCCGTTTTGTCCCATTAAAAAAAGCCAAAACAAATGATTCTCTCCCCTCGAGTCTGATTTTCCCTGGCCAGGTGTAATTGGCTCCGCTCAGGCCCTGCAGCATCTGTTCTTGGCATGGCCAGAGGAGGATCACACAAAGCTCCCTAATTAGGGTGGCTTTGGAGCCCCAGGATCAAACAAATCCCAGAGAATCATTAAACTGCACATTTCACAAAATCTGTGCTTTTGAACCCGGAGCTGAGATGCAGACGCAGCTCCTTCCCAGGACCAAAACGAGGGGAATCGGGGAAAAAACTGGTTTTGTTAAATTATTAACGCCAAAATTAGCTCCTGCCTTTTTTCTCTGCATCACCACCTCCCCATGTGTCTTCCTTCCCATGTCCCTGCATCCCAACTCAACACATTCCCAGCCTAACCTCTCCCTGCTCAGGTGCCTCGCAGGCAGCAGTGACTTCCTAAATTCCCCAAATCCTCCGGCAATCGCAACCCCCACTCAGTGACGAGGAGAAGAATCCCCAGCAGCAGAAGCTGAGCCCGGCTCCCAGCCCCGTACCTGGGTGGTGCATCCCTCCTGGCGGGAAGGGATGTGGGTGCGGGGGGTGTCCCCCGGCCGGGGCGGCTCCCGAGGGTGGCCCGGGGGCTCCGGCACCCGGTGGCATCGGCGGCGGGGGCATGGCCGGGGGCATCCCGGGGGGCAACGCTCCAGGCGGTGGCACCGGCGGCGGGAACGAACCGGGGGGAGGCAGGCCTGGGAACACAGCAAGGGATGTGAAACGAGCCGACCGAAAAACTCGGGAAAGGAGGCGGGAATTGCGAGGGGCAACGCGGAAACAGGGCAGAGCCGCACGATGCTGGGCCAGCACCTTTGAGCCCTGCCCCACAGCGGGTCTGTCACCCACCTGGAGGGGTGACCCCAGGCCCCAGCGCGGTGACCACGGGCGTGGGCACGGATGGGGGCGGGGGGGCATCGGCGAAGAGCTGGTGGGGCCGATCGGCCTGGGAGAGGGGGTTCTGAGCCGCCAGCAGCCGCTCGGCCGCTGAGCCGTGCCGCTCGCCCTTGGAGTCCTTCTTGAAGGCGTAGGACACAGTGATGGGGCGGTTGCACAGGTACTGCCCGTTCATGGCCTCGATGGCGGCATCCGACGCATCGAAGCTGGCGAAGTTGATGAAGGCGTAGCCCTTGGAATTGCCCGTGTCGGGGTCCCGCATGATCTTGGGGGTCTGCAGGATGACCCCAAAGGCGCTGAAAGTGTCGTAGAGCAGCTTCTCATCGATCTCGGGGTCCAGGTTGCCAATGAAGATGTTGGCGCCCACGTCCAGGTTCTTGTTGTGGGCTGAGGCCTTGTTCACCCGGATGGGTTTTCCGTAGAGCTTGATCATGTTCATGATCTTGATGGCATAGTCTGCGTCCTCCTCGCTCAGGAACTCCACGAAGCCGTACCCTAGGGGACCCCAAAGGGGCTCAGGGGGACGCCAACTGGGGCTCAGGGCAGGTGCGAGAGACCTCAAAGGGATTTCACGGGGGACTAAAAAAGGACTTCAGGACAGAAAGAGACCACCCAGACCCACCCCCTTCTTTTAAAACTCCAGCTCATTAGAAACCCCATTTAATTATTGAATGAAAGCCCCTTGGTTTCATTTAAACGCCATCTAATACTTGATTCAGTTCCCACTTAATTTAAACTCTGCGTCTTCAACACCTCCTGAGCGATAGAGGATGATGCCCCTCTTCTGAATCACAATCCCACCCCCAGCTCTGCCCCTCGGTGGGATTTGGGGGTCCCTCACCCTGGTGCTGGCCCGTGACCCGGTCCTTGGGCATGTGCGTGTTGACCACGGGCCCGGCCTGCAGGAAGAGCTCCCAGAGCAGGGGCTCGCTGACCTTCTCGTCCAGGCCCCCCACGTACACCGTGGCATCTGCGAGGAATCGGCGTCAGTCAATCCAGTCAAAGCCTCCCGAACCCGAAGCCCCCCACCCCGTCAGCCTTTAATCTAGGAGGCGATCCCCCAGCCCCCCCTTTTTTTGCTTCGGGAAACCAGAGGCCACCATGGCCCATGGAGCTCCCCCGGCGCTTCGCCCACCCCGTGTTCCCAGGGAGCTCAAAATCCCCTCCAGTGCCTTCTCGCGTCTCCAGGACGCACCAAGGATTCCCCATTCCCCCCAGAATCCTCCTCAGCACCCCGCGACGCCCCTAGAGTACCCAAGGTCTCCGCAGAACCCCCGCGGTGTCCCTCTCAGTGCCCTCAGCGTTCCCCCCATCTCCCTGGTGCCCCCGGACACCCCAGCCGCTCCCACCCTGGTTCCTCTCCGAAATCGGCCCCGCCGCCATCTTAGCCCGCTCCGCGCGCGCGGCGCCGCACGCACGCTGGCACGCACGACGCGCGTGACGTCAACGCGCAAGCCTCGTGTCCATGGGACGGGCCGGAAGTGGCGTTTAGAGGGGAAGGCGCGGCCGCCATCTTGGGTGTGGGCGGAAGGGGCCGTTGCCCTTCTGTGGCGACATGGCCCTCGCGGCCAGCAGTGCCCTCAGTGCCCCACGATCCCCTTGCCGCACGTCCGAGGTCTGGGCTCCCGCAGCATCCTCATTCCAGTCACATCCCATCTCCTCCAATCCCCATCCCTCAGCTCCTCGAGCCTCGTGGAGGCAGCACAGATTTAATGGAAAGCCGTGACCCGGCAGTGTCCGTCCAACATCGGGGACACCTCGGGACTCGCCGCTCTGCCCTTCCAGGGACCCCCAAGCACCCAGAGGTTGCGGGGAGCAGCTGCAGGGAGCGGCTGCAGGCACCGGGCAGTGCCAGAGGCCCCAAGTCCCGAGTGATCCTGGTGGCGTCCCAGAGCTGGGCCGGGCTCAGGTGCCCTCCGGGGTCTCAGTGGGGTCTCCGCGTGTTCCAGGCATGGAGCCGGTCCTGGAGCAGCTCCAGCTCCTCAGCCAGCCCAGCCAGGGATGGGGCCAAGCGCCCACGCTGCCAAGAGACCACATCCAGCACGGCATGGGGACACGAGGATGGGGCAGAGACGCGGGACAGCGACAGGACAGGAACACAGGGATGAGAACATGGATAGGGTGGAGTGTTCATCATGGGACCAGGACACAAGGATGGTAACACAGGGCAGAATGTCCAGCACAGAACAGGGACACAGACAGGGTAGGATAGATGGACATGGGTCCATCCATCCATCCCTCCATCCATCCCTCCATCCATCCCTCCCTCCATCCATCCCTCCATCCATCCATCATCCATCCCTCCATCCATCCATCATCCATCCCTCCATCCCTCCATCCATCCCCCCTGCTGGACACAAAGACAGGGTTAGCTGGATGGACACGAGTTGGGTCCAGTCCAAACATCAAGACAGGCTGGGACCCCCCAAAGTGGGACCCCCCAAAGCGGGACCCCCCCAAAGCAGGACCCCCCAGGCCCCAGTTTCCCCAGTACCTGTTCCTGGGGCAGCCCCCTGAGGTAGCAGCGGTGCCAGAGCCGGATGCATGGCCCAGCAGTGCAGGGCAGGAGCAGCCCCGGGGGGGGCTGGCAGGTCCCCAAGAGCCCCCCTTGTGTCCCCTGGCTCTCTGATGGGGACACCCGGTGTGGGGGGCGCAGGGGGGGGCGGCTCCACCAGGGTAGGGCGTGGGGGCACAATGAGCCCTTGGCCAGTGCCAGCACCAGCCTGGACCCCCTCCACACGCAGGGGTCTCCAGGCTGGGAAAGGGGCAAAATAGGGATTAGGAAAAATGGAGGGAAAGGCAGCTGGGCTGAGGGGTGAGTGGGAGTAGGGGGAAACAAGAAGGAGAGAAGTCTGTTGTGAAAACAGGGGAGGAAAGGTGTGGTGAAAAGAATAGGCATTAGGAATAAAAGAGGCTGAAAGAGGAAATGGGGGGATACTATAGGAATTAAGGGGGAAAAAGGGAGGGAGAAGGCAGCCAGAAGGACAAAAAGGAGGCAAAGGAAGGGTGCAGCCCCCCAGCTCAGCCACACTCACCGTGCCTGGGGCCAGGGACTCAGCAGGGGCCGGGGATCCCGCAGGGTTCCTGAACTGTTCCTGCTGCTGCCAGGTGTAACGCCGCCCCCAGGCCCACACCGGGGGGAAGGTGCAGGTGCGGGGGCGTCCCCTGTGCCCCCCAGGGTCCTGCCAGCCCCCCATGGGCCGGTAGGTCTGGCTGGGGAGCCGGGGCTGTGGGGGAAGAGTTGGGAAGTCGGTGCCCCATTAGGGATGGGGAAACTGAGGCACAGAGGGGAAAAGAAGGGGTAAAATGGGAAATCTGGGGGTGCTCATCCCCAGTTTGGAATGGGGGTGGAGAAGCTGAGACAGGATGAGGAGAAGGGGTGAAATGGGTGGGTTTGGGGATGCAGCAATGTGCCCCTGCCCCTCACCGTGCTGCTGTGGCCTCGCTGGCGCTGGCAGCTGAAGCGGAAAGTGCTGAAGTAGGGGCTGAAACTGCTGTCATGGAGCGCCAGGAGAAAAGCCTCAGTGAAGCCAAAATCTGCCGGGAATTGCCACAGGAGCTGCCACGTGCAGTCCAGGAACAGCAGGAACACAGGGGCCTAGGGAGGATATGGGATGGGGTGGTCTCACCTCCTCCCAGGCAGGGGTCCCAACTCCTGTCACCCTGGCGGGACAGGAATGGGGGGGGTCTCACCTCCTCTCGAGGGGTGTCCCGGCAGAGCAGCCCCAGCCGGCGTGGGAAGGGGTGTCCAGCTGCCACCCACTCCCTCTGCACCAGGCTCTGGAAGCCAGGCAGGGAGCGGGCGTGGGGGTCCCCCAGGAGCTGCACCAGAGAGGCCAGGAGGCAGTTCAGGTCCCGGTCTGAGGGCTCTGAAGGGGCAAGGCAGTGAGAGGGGGGCGGCCCCTTTCCAGTTCCTTTCATCTTTTTCCAGCCCCTATCCCGGTGCCCCCACCTTGCAGGACCACGGAGCAGCGTTTCCTTGCCAGCAGCGACACCACCTCCACAGCTTTTCTCAGGCAGGTGCTGGGGGGAAAAAGCAGGGGTTCAGGGCACCCCAAAATGCCACAGTCACCCATTCGGGTGGCTCATGCACCCACCGCAATGCCCCATCACCTTACAGTGCCCCCAGGTGGGTTGGGGGGGGGCATTCTACCGTAGGATTTAGGGTGAATTTCCCCCCTACACCCCAAAATATCTCCCTACACCCCAAAGAGCCCCCTCGTTCCCTGCTCACCGGACGTGGTCCAGCCACCGTGTCCCCTCCAGGGCCGAGAGCCACTTCTCCTCTGCCACTGCACCTGGATCCCACGGGATGGGGTTTCAGCGGAGGGGAAGGCCCAGGCCCCTGGGGGGCTCGGGGGTCGCCGAGGTCTGCTCAGTGCCACTCACCAGGCAGGCAGAGCGCCCGCAGCCTCAGGTGGGCGAGCTGGATGTCGGCGAGCGTGGGCAGCTCGGCCACGTCAGCCAACACGCAGGGCCCGCGGTCCCCCAGCAGCAGCGCCTCCAGACACCTGGGGGGCACAGGAAGCCCCGGTGGGGCCAGGCCAGGGGCACCTCCTCAGCCCCCCTGGGCCCCCCTGGACCCACCTCACGTCCTCACTGCCTGGCTCTGAGGCCGGGTGAAAGCTGGAGGCTCTCAGCAGGTCCCCCCCACCCGGGTGGTGCCAGCACAGGCGCTGCAAGAGAAATGGGACGATGCCACCACATCGCCCTCCCAGTGCCCCCCACCCTGCCAGGACCTGCCCAGACACTCACAGGCACCCGGCGCTCCTGGAAGTGGGCAAAGGTTCGCTTGAGGTCATGGTCCAGAAGCCCGCTGGGCACCCACAGATACCGGGGGAGGCTGTGGGAAGGTGGGACACAGGGTGGGCTCCCCCAAATCACAGGTGCCATTGGCAGTGGCTCAGACAGTGTCGGGGACCGACGGGGCCGTACCTGGGGGCCATGTCGAAGCGCTCATTGACGGCGCTCACCCTCCAGCCCGCAGCACCGAGACGCTGCAGTTCCTTCTCCCAGTCCTGCAGGCTCTCAAAGAGCAGCGTGGTGGACGAGCCTTCCTCCTCCTCCTCCTCCTCCTCCTCCTCTTCTGAGGGGGCTTCGCCAGGGCAGGACCAGCCATTGTGTCCCTCGGCAGCGTCCCGCAGCCACGCAGCCGCCTCCCGTGCCTGTGCGATGGCATTGGCCACCTGCGAGGGCAGCCGGGGGGGCGGTGTGAGGCCCCCAGGCTTCCCCGGAACCGAGGGGTACCCCAGAGTGAGGGCACAACACTTCTGCACCTCCCCGGCTTACCCGGAACGCCTGCGGAGCCAACCCGTTCTCGGGGAAGGAGAAGCGGAGCAGGCGGAAATCCCGACAGAAGACAGCGAGTTCCTCGGGGATGAACTTGAGGGTGGAGGCGGCCGTCAGCACCTTGGGCTTGGAGAAGCTGCTGGCTGGGGTCAGGGGGATGAGGCTGTCAGGGCCAGCTGAGACCTGCCCAGCTCGTTAGATGGGGATGAGACCCGAGACCTGCCCAGCTCATCGCTCATGTCCCCGGATGTCCCCATTACCTGCCACCAGCTTGTGGATGCAGGGCAGGGCCACCTCATCCTCAGAGCGGAGGAGGCCACGGGAGCCAGGAGCCTGTGGGAGAGTGAGGAGGGCTGGAAACTACCCCAGAGTGTCCCCCCCAGTCCCAGGAAGGTGGTGGGGATGGATCTGGACCTGGCTGTCCCATGTCCCTTGTGCCTTGTGATCCCCACTATGTCCTGCAGTGAAGAGTTCCCAGGGTGAACACAGTCAACGAGCCAGGAGGGACTAGGATGGGGCTGGGATGGGAGTCAGGGATGCGGTGGGGTGGGGCTGAGCCGAGGGTCGGGGTGCGGTGGGATGGGTTCGGAATGGGATCGGGGTGCGGTGGGATGGGTTCGGAATGGGATCGGGGTACGGTGGGATGGGTTCGGAATGGGCTCGGGGTGCGGTGGGATGGGTTCGGAATGGGCTCGGGGTGCGGTGGGATGGGTTCGGAATGGGATCGGGGTGCGGTGGGATGGGGTCGCGCCGGGTCAGGGGTTCCCCCCGCCCCTCCCCGCGGTCCCGTTCCGGGTGTTCCGTTCGCACCTGGCCGGGCAGGAAGGCGAGGCGGCGGTCGGTGCAGAGCAGCGTCCCCGGGACGGAGCCGCCGCCGTTCCCGCAGCGCTGCCGGGCGCCCGCCGCTTCCTCGAGCACCCGCTCCCCTGTAGGGACCGACACTGGGTCCGGGGCTCCGAGCGCCCCGAGCCTCCCCAGGACCCTCGGCCCCCGGCCCCGGCCCTACCTGGGAGCCCGGAGAAAGTCGGGCGGCGGCCGCTCGGGACCCCGCTCATGGCGCAGGGACTTTGGCCGGGCGGGCCCCGAGCGCCGGGGCCGGAGCGGCCCGGGAGAGAGCCCCGAGCGCCCGGCCCGGCTCCGGCATCCCGCCCTCCACTCCGGCATCCCGCCCTCCCCTGGCATCCCTGCCCCGGCATCCCGCCCCTCGGGGCCCGGGATTCCACTCATCCCGACCCCCGGGATCCCGGCGTTCCGGCCCCCGCCATCCCGCCGCCCGGTACCGGCGCTGGGAAAGAGGGGGGAGCCCGGGGAGGGAGCTCGGCGGGCGGAGGGGAAAAGAGGGGGGGCAGCCTCAAGCACCCCAGAAGTTCAGCGCTGGGGCGGGGGGCACAGATCCGGCAGGGACAGACGGTTCGGGGGTCCTGCCCGGTGCAGGGAACCCCCAAACCCCGTCACGGGAGGGGGACCCGGGGCCCCTCCCGGGCATGGGGCAGGAGAAGCTGCTCGGTGACTCAGCGCACAAACACGGAGCCTTCCCCTCCCAGCCCAAGAGCGGCTCCCGAGCCAGGCCGGGCTCGCTCCCGCCGGCCCCCGAGCCGCACCAGCAGGTGGATGGTGGCCCTGGGGCTCCCTGAGCCACCACTCACCACGGCACCTGCAGGCACCCCAAAACACAAAACCCGAGGTGGCTGTGACTAGGGCTAGGGCTAGGGCTAGGGCTAGGGCTAGGGCTAGGGCTAGGGCTAGGCTTTGGCTTTGGCTTTGGCTTTGGGTTCAGTGCTAGGGCTAGGGCTTGGGCTTGGGTTAGGGTTTAGGGCTAGGATTTGGGTTTAGGGCTAGGGCTAGGGTTTGGGGCTAGGGCTAGGGTTAGGGTTAGGGTTAGGGCTAGGGCTAGGGTTAGGGTTAGGGTTAGGGTTAGGGTTAGGGTTAGGGTTAGGGCTTGGGGCTAGGATTTGGGAATTGGCTTTGGGTTTGGGTTTAGGGCTAGGGGTAGGGCTAGGGTTTGGGGCTAGGGCTAGGGTTAGGGTT